TGTGTGTGTGTGTATATATATATATATATACTATAGAAAAAAGCATATTAAATCTTATTGAGCACCTTTATCCTGACCGCTCGTAGAACAACTCCTTCCATGTTTTTCCTTCGTTCGTAGAGAGACAAATTTGTGAGAGGAACAAATCCTTCATTGTCTTTCCATTCTGCTAGGTCAAAAATTTTGACGGTGTCGCCCTTGATGGAATACCATTCCCGCAAGATTATCTCGTTATTACACAATACCAACATCTGCGTGTCGAACGCCAGATTAAAGGGATTACCGATTGGCTTATGGCAATGGTCATGGATGTTGTTGTCGGGGGTGTAGAGAAACAGAATAAACCACACCGGGAAGGACATGGAGTAGACCTTAACGGCGTCCACAAACTCTAGATACGCCTCGAAGTCGGGTAAAATGACGATGGTAATAGGCTGGATTATTTCATGATAGTATTTAAGCGTTTTCCACAAGCTTTTAAAGTGCACATCCACAGTCATTATGTAGTGTCGGCTCAATAAGCGGGAGCTCGTATGTATCAGATGATTGATTCGTAAATCTACAGCAAGAATTTTGCAAAATCAGCTCAACAACTCAAATATTTAAAATTCTGACAACTCTGTCAAGTTCTAGAAGATTAAAGTATATTAGCAATTTTATCTTTTTCTACACAAAAAAAATGTTTAGTTAAATTAATTAGAATTCTGGTGGAAAATTCGTTAAACTATTGTACAATTCAGAATTGTAGTTAAATCTAGATTTCTGGTTAAAATTTATATTAAAATTCTAGTTAAAATAACCAACATTCAATAGATTTAACTAAAAATCTTGTAAATTTAACTAGAATTCTGGATTGTTCATTTTCCACCAAACATTTTTTTCCGTATACTATTTATAGCTTTACAATTTTATAAATTTATGGGATAGAAAGAGAAGACAATTAGAAAATTTCAAAGCGAAGTCGTGTAAAAATAACTGCTATTAATCATAATGATCGACGTTGCAATGTTTATTGACTAAACATTTGTTAGTTAAAGTAACACGTTGAACGTGACGCCACAGTCACGATGATTGACACTATCAAAATTTTTTTAATACTTGTAAAGAAACAAATGCATCTAAAGATGGAATTACATGCTCGATTTTTTGAATGATAGCATGCATACAGTCATATCTGATCTGGTGTATGCTAAAATTCGTTCATGCATTGAGCACTGCATGCTGCATATATATTATATATATATATATATATATATATATATATGCATAATTTTTATATTTATTATGGATTACTTCATAGCTTATTTTTTTGCATACACCAAAAGAAATAATTGCTAATTTCATAGTTAATTTGTCAAACGTTAAACTGTATGCATCAAACCAAGCATAACAGCATGCATGAGTGCATACTTATTATTCAAAAAATTGAACGTGTGATTCCACCTTAATATAAAATTTTCATAATATAAAAAATAAATAGATAACAATAAAAATTAACAAATATGCTAATTAACACAATTAAAATAGTCTTATTTAATTATAATATAAGAATTATAGAATTATAACGTAATGTATATATTATAAAATTATAAAAGTATACAATATTTTTTATTATATGGTATAATACTAAAAATTCTGTTGCGTAATTTTGGACATACAAAAGCAGTAAGGCAACGTATTAACATATTCATACATAGAAAAAAATAATACTGTATATTAATAGAATAGAATTAAATCTAATTATAAATAATATATCTTGCTATTTCAGGGCCGGTTGTTTCATTTTTAGATAAACTATAAGATAATTTATTTATTAGATAAACAAAAGAGTAAAAGAATAAGAACATAAGAAAGTAAGAGAATAAGATAGTGAGCTGAAGTTTACCGAAAAGTGAAACAATCCAGCCTCACACAGTTACAATTAAACAAATTTTGTTTTATCAGTATTTGAAAGATATTTTGAACTGACCTCCATAATCCTCATATATGTCTCCAGGATGGACGAAAATGACGGACGCCGCATCAGAGCCCACATAAAATTTTCGGATACCGAGTATCAAATCAACAAAGGTATCGGCGTTGAAGCAATTCCCTGTCAAAGTTCCGAGAAGAACGCAAAACAGCATCGGATACAGTGAACAGAGCGATAATCTCATTTTGTTGGAGAATCGGTTCAGAGTTTACGACGCCATAGACCCCAGAGACTAACTAAACGGCTAAAATTTCTGCCAAGCAGAACAAACGCCTTCATCGAGTAACGCGGGGTAAATGCAGGGACGTTGATGCATAATAAATGCTTCAGATAACGCCGTCACGGAAAGAACTTTGTTGAAATATCAAAAAATTTAACTAGATGCAGATCTGAAAATAATTTTGTTAAACTATGAAAATAATTATGTAGAAAGCACTTAAGCTTGTTACTAGAATGTCATAACGTTTTGCAGTATTGTTCATGCTTGAATTCCCATATAATTATTTTGATGGTCCAACATAATTGTTTTCTGTATTTACTTACATTTTTTAGATACTTCAACAAACTCGTTCTTTCCGTGGATAATTCCGTGATGTGGAACTAATTGCGACCGATCAATCAAGAATAGTTTCTTTTAATCGCCTTTCTTATTATCGTTACGCTACATTAAGAATCAACGATACCTTCTAGAAAATATTTATTCTAAATAATTAATGCAATAAAAGGCAAGGTATCACACAATTAATTAAGAGCACTGTATGGCTTCCTCGATTATTGATGTCACAGTAAATAGAAAGTGTGTTTCATTAAGTATGTATTAAAAGTAGTTCAAACAATGAACATACTCGAAGATATTGAAGTAAGCGATTAATTTTTAGATTAGATTTGCGCTGACAATACAGTCGCATGACGATACAGAAGTGAATGTAAACACAATGCAAGATTTTTTATTATGCAAAAAGTCGTTGACTTTTACGTCTTTTACCAATCATTGACAAATATTCAAAATATTGACGTTCATATCCAACCCTGGACATGTTCATACAGAAAGTGCACATTTAAATTTATAATGTGGCATCGGGAGTATATTCTGTGAGAGTATAAACTGACCAATATCAGCACCATTAGAAAATTACGATCGGAAACGATCGACAGATCGCATCTTAAACATGCGTTGTCAGAATGGACATTATCAAATATGGTTGATAGATAACATAATTTATTTTCTTTTATTTTTCTTGAAAATAGTAACATTATTTTCCCCAACTAGATAAAATCATATATTTTTTATATAATATAATTATATCCTGGTAAAAAATTTTTCATGCACGAATATGTATAAATACGTATAAACATACATAAACACGCATAAGTATTTATAAGCATATATAATAAATATATGAAATATGTCCATACATGTTCATACATCCTTTTTTCTTTTGTAAAATTACTTTTTAGTGTAATAGAAATAATAATAGTAATGCGAAAACATTAAAAATTAAAAAGGTAATTTTCGCACTAATTGTATTAGAAAAAAATCAAGTTTGAAGAAATATAAAAAAATTATTTACGTATAATTATAAATAAAATTATGCATAATTATGTATGAGCAATTTTTTTTACATTTTTCCAAACTTGTTGTTTTTACATTTTCCGAAACTTTGTTAACCTATCGACTTCATTAACATACGATATAAGTTTAATTCCAATTTCTGCTATAATGTCCAATTCTCATTTCGAGAAAATAATTTTACAATTTTCAGAAAAAATATAAAGAGAAATGTATTTATAAATATATTAAATATTAAATATTATATATATTTTATATATATTATAAACTGTAATATATTAACATCTTTTTACATAATTATATATCTAACATTATATATCTATAATAGTATCTATAATTTAATTTAGCCCAAGTCTAGATTCTGAAAAATAAATAAGAAACAAATTAGATATTTATAAATTAAATAAATTACAGCAACAGTTCTATTGTTGCGGATTGCAAACAATTTTATTATCTCTAAGTAATAATTAATTAAGTAAAATGTTCAAAAAAAATACAGATAGCGACGTCAAGTTGATAATGTGTTTATATACATCTGTCATATCTGTTTGTAAAATTGCTTTCTGGACAGTGCTAGATTACTCTCGAAGTCATATACATTTATGTATATGACATGATTCATCGATCGCGACTGGAGAGAGCTGACGATCATCAAATTCACCTAGTAATCATGGTACCAGTATATGATTCAGCGACAACTGTGAACAATCTTGTTCTACAACAATTTGCTAATTTAATTATGAACAATATTAATGCATATCAGAAAATTAATAGTTGTTGACTGTCATCTGATCAGAGAGAATCAATGATGTTATTTTTATTATCGTTTTCTAATATTTCCTTTGCCTTATATAAAGTCATGAAGCTGCCTTTTCGAATAATTCTAAATAGCCGCGAATGTATTTATATTATCTCTAAATTATAATCGCGGTTAACATTATTAATTGTAATAGTATTTTTTCCTAAATTGTCTATCTTGTCGACAAACTCTCGTTATATTATATTGCTGTTTTATACTACTTTTGCGAAATATTTGAAAAATGCAATTATTTTGAATTTCTCGTCGATGATCATGCAACGTTCACGTATTATGGCACCGACACAGTTCTCAGTTATGGCGCGTTTATTTCTAATTATGCAAAATATACGGTTATTTTAGCCTTATCGCTACTATGCTGTCCGTAATATATAACGTGAATATAGCGAAATAAGTTATGTAAACGCGACGGCAACCCGTTCACGTGCGCGCATAGACAAATCTAGAAAATGAGTCGCGCGCATACGTGTACGCAAAATCGTGGCGAATGAATGTGCACTTTTCCCTGTTACTTTCAAGACGCTTCTAGATTGTTATATCTGCTACAATGCTTTTGGACCATTCTGGATCGTTCCATATCACTTGCGAAGCCAATGAGCCAATCCGTAATGAAAAATGTATAGAAAACGTAAATTATATGACATATTAGGTGTAGTAAAAAGTCATCGCGTATTTTTTAGCTCAAAGTTGTATATACAATATCTTCGTCAATAATGAATGAAATTCAAATTTAAAAAAAGGGTTTTAAAGCTTGAAATCTCTACTTTTAAAAGCTTATCACATTTTTTAAGTTTATATGAGTTTGATAATTTTTACATTTAATTTTTACAAAAACTACGAGCTGAAAAAGACGCAAAATTTTCTTCTCACTTTGTGGATTTGTAACGTGTCCAAAACGAATTTGAGAAAATTTTCGATTACATATCGTGAAAGCTTGATACTTTCCCTACAAAATCGTTTTTTTTTAATATTCCTACGACTTTTGATTACTGAGTTATCGCGGATTAAATAAAAGAATTATTTTGACTTTAATTGCTCATAACTCCATTAAAAATTGTCGTATCGTATAATTTAAAAAAGAGATTTTTAAAGCTGAAACTTTACTCTATCAAGATATATTTATATTGTTGGTAAGAAAGTA